ATGATCAGAAGAATAACGAAAGCTTCACAACCGAAACATTCAACCCAGAGGACAAAACTCCACCTGAGCTACAAATCTTCTCCACCATCTCAAAAGCATTACCTTAATGCCAAGTCTTTAAAATATACTAAAATTGAAGCTCAAACTATTTTCAGGACTTTTTTAAAATCTACATTAGACCCTTAACAATTTAAATTTCTATATGTTCTCTGTAAAATAAAAACGATACAGTACATGAATGTACGATCTATTTCAAACTAGTTAACTAATACATTACACAAACGTACAATAGTCAGTCACACAAGTAATTTAAATCATAAAACAACAACTTATAACTTATGTTACATAATATACAGTGTAGCAAATGTATCTGTCTGCCTGTTTTCATTTCATCTATACACACAATCAAATACAAATGCAAAGATAAATATTGATGTAAGCATATGTTAGTGCTTGTATCGTTATGAGTGAATGTGATGACTAACGTTTAAACAGAGGTACGCATTTGTATGAGCGCTGTAATGATTAACTATGTACAGTGTTTAGATTTTAATGATAAACAATATAAAGGAACTTCTCATTAATTTGCATTATAAGCAAATTGTATTCTATGTATATGTTCAGTTGTTATCTGTAGACATATATATTGTCAATGGCATATCTAAGTGTATTTGAAACGTTATAGTCTGAGAATGAAATAACCAAATTCATTACTATTTCTTTTCAACATCTCTTTTCATGTAACTAAAAGAATATTTTATTACAAAAGTCTGGTCTACAAAATTCTCCTACTAGGCAAATACAATTTGATTGGTTTATTTTCGTATATTATTGAATGCCCACCAGAGAGTTAGATGCTATGGGGAGTAGAAATTATTAAAATCACATTCATCATCGTCATCATCATCCCCAACATCATCATAATTATAGGTAAGTTCAGAGGGCAGAATTTAAAAAAGTAATAATAAATATAAGACTGGGCCAACTATTACACAAGGTCATGTTGGGGTCAAACAAGGACGCATGAAAATAAAGGCATAACAGAATTTTCATGTTACGTGTCTTTTAAAAACACAAATGCCATATTTCTCCTAGTGGAATAAAATAAGGTTATTTAGAAAGTAAAGTGAAATTTTACATATATGTATATTGGTGAATGAATAAAATGAAACAAAGTAGATGAATGGATGGGAGAAACAGAAATTGTAAAAAGAAACATACTCTCACATATACATACAATACATAATCAAGTTCTGACATACACAATGCACAGAATACTAATTTCAACCAAAGGCTTTTTTCATCTAATAAACAAAACATCACAAAATAAACTGAAATAAACAGAAAATATTAAATGAGAAATGAAAAATTAAAACAGAAAATACATTGTCGCTAAGTATTTATGTCGTAAACTAGAAGTTAAATTCAACAGTGTATAAAAACAAACTAACAGAACGATGAAACATATTTATATATGATTGTTCAGTTAATCAAAACAGTGAGATGGAAGAAACAAAACAGAACTCAGTAGATTTTGATGAATAGATGGGTGGTTGAAAGTAGTCGATAGGATACCCCGCACTTAGGTTTTGCATTATTTAGCACTTGTCAATAAGGTGATGCTCATTAGGATTGGAGGTCTGGGTAGTTCAGTGGTAAAGTTTCAAACAGTGAAGCAGGGTGATGCTAATGCGAGTCCTACTGGGACGACTAGTATACTCAATATTACATTTAAGCCTTGGAGATGAATGACAACTAGTACGAAATCCAAATTCAAGGTTTTTTGTAGACTACCTGCAACTACCTAACATCAAAACATGGCTCACGTGATGTTGAGTCATCTAAGGTAACGGTTACGTTGTAACTTGACTGACAGAATCCAGTCAGTAGAACTAAAAGACTAAATCAATATGACACTATTGACGCCTTAGTGACTAACCAACTATAATAGAAAGGCCGAAAAACAATCAATCAGTCCGAATATACCTCAGTTTTTAGAGACTCGAGAAGTTTCTTTAATTAATTTAAACCCTTTAAAAATACTGGACAGTGCTCAAAATGATATTACCTAGTATGGAAAATAACTAGTGAAAACGTCTCAATGATGATATTAGAAGGAACTGAGTAATTACGTCATAAGAACGAGGGGTGTTAAACAATTATAGACGTTTTCATTATAACTGATAATGATCCTTAAGTGACTAATTGCAATGCTTCTAAATATAAAGTATGTTTAATTTATATGAGTAGAAATAAATTTAGGTAATAAGTGTACCTCATTGTTAATCTATTTAGACGTTAGTAGTAACCAGTCCCAAAACAACATATAACTTATTATAAATGTGTAACGGTTCAATTTACATTTCACCTCAGCATAACAACAAAATACTAACAAGATGATAGGTAAATACATAGAAATAATAACGATAGTGGAAGATTAAATGTGAGAATTATAGTTCAGAAGGAATGAAGAATATTAGGAGAAATAAGTTGAAGACTAAGACGTAAATAGGTAATGAATACATCCACACCGATTAAAATGTTAACATATTTTAACGTGATTGGGTCTAATAGTTTATGAACAGTTTATGAACCGATTGTATATGTTAGTCTAACTGCTGCCGTAGTTCTTTCTACCTACTTCCGTGCTAACCAGGAAAAAACGAAAATAAACTCTCTGAAATGTCATTTAATAATTACAAATGTCTAACCATGTTATTGACCAAGTACAATGTTGTTCAGCTGCTAAACAGTGAAGAGTGTGGGTGCAATAGAATTTCACTTTGTGAGTACTGGATGACTAAACCATCAGGCTGTCACATTATCACTTATCGTTTATTTAAAAAAGACTTTAAACAGTAACTCAATGATCTAAAGGCGATTGGGAATGTGGTAAGGTTTGAACATTTTAGGTTTGGTTATACACTCGTTTATGAATGCCAATTTTCTCTTGCCAGAAGAAATGACTATCCGATGCTTATAATGGTTTTCAGTGGTTATCCAATTAAATTTAGTTCATGATGCAAACTACAAAACGAAATAACATGTTTACCTTGTGCATATATCATCTATTAAATTAGACGGGAAAATATTGAATCTAACTTACTGTCTCAAATACATTCTTAAAGCTAACCAAATGAATTAAAAGTCAGTGTAGATTTCAAGATCAGTAAACGAATATATTATAGAGATCGTGTAGAGGATAAAGTATGTTAAATGATTTAGAAAACTGCATCATCACAGTGTACTTCAAATTATCATTAGAAAACATAGTGAACGAATCAGTTATTAAATTCTAGTTGAACTTATTCACCTGAATATTGCAATTGATCTTTTGAATAAAGACATTTAGCTGTGTATTTCTAAATGCAATATTGATTGTAACTTTCATTAAATTAAATTACGCATTTGTAATACATTGTAAATAGTGAAAATTGAGCAAGTGAATGCATAAACTCCTAGTTAGTTACTAAAATGCCCATATTTATATATACTACACAAAAATAAATGTATTATTTATTGGAAAAATGTATTTCAATTACAAGAAAGTAACATGAGCATAGCTTTTGAACAGAAAGAAAACAAAGGAGACTGATTAAGGTTTCATGCTGTTATATTCTTTTTTACGTGTATGCCAATATGTATGTCAAGAAGAAGAAGATGATGATGATGATGGTGAGATAATCTTTTCTCAACAAAACAATTAAAGAGTTAAAACACCTACTGATTTGTACATACAAAACAAAACACACTACTATTCACAGTTGAAGTATAAAATTAACAAACTTAAACAATACACCCTAGACACTATAGGGGTAATTTAAGAAAAAAAAAGAAACTAAGATTATGCATCTTTTTTTTCGAATAGACAAAGAAAGAAAACTTTTTTTTTAAAGACAAAACTGCATAAGACTATCAAAGATTATAGTGAATTTCAATAATTTATTTGCAATTTTTACAGGAGAATAAAAAAAAAACCCAGCTATCTAAACAGAAGTAGATCAGGTTGAGATAGAACTTCAGTTATGAATATATACTGACTGAAAGCTGAGCTTTCTTTAACGAATAAGCTATCGTCTCATACAGAATTATAATCACATAAGTAATGACTAATTTCGTAGACCACATTTACAGTTATCTAATTCTTACTTAAAACTTTCAATTAACATAGACCACTAAATTATGAAGTGGTTCGATAAGCTAATGAATTCAAACTATCATCTGACATTAATCAAACTATAAAAATAACTATTCTTCTTTTTAGTTCCGATGTTCAATAACTTTTGGATTAAAAAAAGTTTCACAGATTGAAATCATGAGTCAATTGAAGCTAGACCACCATGGAAAACCTGGAAGCACTGGACGGCCGTTTCTTCCTAGTAAGGGACTCCTTGAATAAATTAGAACAGTTCATCAATAAAAGAATAACGTTTCTTAAAATATATTAAAAAATTTCGAGTCCCACGTGCGAGATCATGGCCCCGCACTGCTGAGGAGTCTCACATATGAAGACGAAACAACCATCCAGTGCTTCCAGGTTTTCAATAGTAGTCCAGCTTAGATCGATTCGTGATTTCAACTGTGAAAAATAATATTTGTCTACAATTAAAGATTTCTTAAATAAACAAATAAGGACTGACCATAATTTCAAGAAAATGGTTGTTTTTAAAATATTATCGTGTTTCACTTAATTGAATATGACCTTCATGTTGTTAACGTCTCTTCCGTTCATACCATAACATGTGGTACACCCGATTTATTACAGTATATCTTTATTGATAATATGTATTAAACTAAGCTATTTATAAACAAAGCAATTGAGAATAATAAATTTTAAATATTAGTTAGCAATGAAATCTATTTAGGACAAATCAGTTGAATAAATATATATCTTAATGTTGATTTTAAAATCGAAAGTCAATTATGAATAAATAAAAATACAATTGAATTCATTAATAATTATATATACATATTTTATGTATATAAGAGAACATTCTTACCAAAGTGATTGGTCTGCATCGCATAACTTTAATCTTTTCATCGGTATATGGAGAGAAATTTTGATAAGCTTGACTTATAGTTAGTATAGTTTCATATAAACCAAGATGATCATTCCCCGGTCTACTACATATACCATAACGACCAGTAGTCGTAGTTGTGGTTGTTGTAGTCGTTGCCACAGCCGCTGCTCCCACTACTACCGAATTACCTGATAATTCTGATGTACACGAAGGTGGTGGAATAAAAGCTGAAACATGTCCACTACCATTACCAATAGTTGAATCAATTCTCATTGAATTTGTAGATGAATTATGCGGTATTGACATTAGCTGGTCTGAATTATCTCTTCCACAGTCAGAACCACGTGTTCGTCTAGGCATTCTACCATATCGTACACTATCTTTTGACATACCAGCAGCAAGACATTTACGAAAACGACAATATTGACAACGATTACGATTTAAACGTATTACAAGACATTTTCCATCTCTTAAACACTTATATTCAATTTGTTTTTGAATACTTCGACGAAAGAAACCCTAGATTAAAAAAAGATTAAAAAAAAGCAGTTTAATAAACGTTATTACCGATTACAAATATGTTAACAAATGTGTTATCAAACATTACTGAACATTGATATTACACTGAATATAGTAACTTTAACAGATATTTTATGCTGACGATATAGGGCAGAAGTATCTAGTACTCAGCTACAAAGCTTATATCTTTAGCTTTTATTTACCTACACGATAGAACGTAAACTTAGTACAATATGGAAGTCAGAAATCTTTAAATACCAAGAGAAATGATGGAAATCTCAATAAACAAAGGAAAGAAGATCAGATTATGAATAAATTAAATAAATATGAAGAAATATAGTTCAATTAAGAAGATGATCAAACTAGATTTCATTCACTTCAGAAAAACATCTGCATACAACAGAAACTTATTCACTGTTAAATATTTTTAACAAAACCCTAGGTCAAAATGTATTCTCAGCAGTCCAGTACTTTCATGTTTTCGATAGTTGTCTAGCATAAATCGACTTGTGACTTCAACTGGGGAAATATTACAGTCTCCACAAGTCACTATACTGATAAAATGTAGTCCATAAAATTACCAGCCAATCTAGTTTTAAAAGATTAAGGAATAGATAAGAAATATTCTTAATGAAAGAAGATCCTTAGGAATTATGAAAACGTCTGGAAATAAAAAGGGTTTAGTATTATTACAAGATAATTTTCTATAGTCTTCTACTCTGCAAACTATACGAAGTTAGAGCTTCAAATTATCCAACCTTTCTTTTAAAGTAAAATACTTCTTTTCACATCTCATATTACTGAGAGATAAGATCTAAAAATATGTACTGGTGTATTCATAGTGTGAAGATGAAACGCTATCCTTAAGTTCTGAAAACTGACTTGAAATTGAATCATATTTATCAATTTTTATCTTAATACACATTTTACACTTAGAGAAACATGAAAAACACAATCTTTTTAAAATTCAACGTATTTACCATGTAAAGGTTTATGTATTTATCTTTGATTCACATTCTACGATGGAGGTTTAGTAATATTAACCGTTTACTCAAAATGAAGTATATAACATGGGCCTTGAGCCTGCAACTTAAAGGCTTAAAGTTGAATAACTTAAACAATGAACCACCACTCTATACTGGTGATAACAAGCATCATTATTAGCATATTGAATTTTAAAAATAAGTATTATGAATTAGAGAAGAAATATTCACTACTTCTCTTATAAAGAATAGAACTTATATTTGAGTCAGTGCGTTACTATTTCGTGTATGTGCACTGCTGAGGAGTCCCATACTAGGACAAAACGGCCGTCTAGTGTTTCCAGGTTTTCCATGGTGGGCTAGCTTCAGTTAACTCATGAATTCAGCTATTAAAATTACGATAATATCCACAAAACCCCTGAGTATAAATTACTGTTATCATATTTTAAATACATTTAATTGAGCAATAGACATATTATCAGACAGGTTAAAACTTTGTAGGTCAAACTCTAATAGATTTGTGCGTTTGTGTATGATACTGATATCCATTAGACTGTACACATTTACTTAAACATACCTGAACATATTTACAATAGTTTAGTAATAAAAGTACAAAAATAATGGTTATATTAAAATGAAAGAATGTTAAATGTGTAATTAGTCTTTCAGACTATGTTAAGTGTCATATAATAAATTTGAGAACATTTTCACTTATATTAAATTCACATTTTAGAAGCTAATCGGAAAGTATTACGTTTTCAATGTGAACTTAATTTCATGCAAATATGAAAAGTTGATCATTTGAGTAACAAGCTACTTACAATAAAATGACAAAAGATTCTTCAGCTATACTAACGGGACTGTTTTATAGTTTAAAAAAATGGTTTTTATCACAGATTGAGTGATTTTGGCTAGATAATAATTAAGAACTAGGAAGTATTGGATAGTTATTTTGTTTACACATGAATCTTCATGTCAATAGTGCACACCAACTACATCACAAGGAATTAGACTGAAGATATTTAGGTATTGCTAGGAGAGTGCGTTAACTTCAGATCAGTTAGCTGTTACTTAGCAGTTAACACCTTTAACTCCTGTGAGTTCGCAATTTTGAGCGACTAGTGACACTAAAGATATGCGTCTGAAACCAGAAAAAGTTGATAGAAAATATAATAATAATAAATACTATTATTCTTGCTTATATTAACCCAAAGAGAGCAATTCTGATAAAGAAATCAACACAGATAATACAAAGAGTAATTGTTCTTTTTTTACTAATACGTTAACAAACCTAAATCACGAATAAATTTTAGTGGGGAAAATCAAGGAACAGTATGGGGATTCGTGCAGTTGATTGTTGTTAAGATTACGAACTGACTTAAATTAAACAACCAATTAGAACCAAAAAGTAATGGATTACTATTTTGTCCCATAATGGGACTCCACATTCAATTAAGCACATACAATATTAAGGAATATTTAAACTATAATACAACAACAGTTTCACATTCTTTGATTATAATTTTTTTCAGAGATTCAGAATGATTACAAAATGATTACTACTAAAGTTTATATTAAATGGACTGTGTTTTCAGTCAATCAGTCAATTACAACGTAGGACAAGGCACATATGTGCATCGGTCCAAGTTACCATACCTCATTAGCACAACAGGAAGTAGTTAATTCAGTGGTGGTAATATATAAAAGAAAGATTGCATATAAGGATACAATACTGGGAGAAAGAATTGGTTCGTAAAAAGAAAAGCATAAACTAATTTTAATCTCTTAGTTTAAGGGAAGACAGGGAGTGTATATACCTACGCCATTGTGATCGATTCTGAGCCATGTCACCAAGGGTCTCCAACCATTGGTTACGATAGTCACGCGAACCCCAACCAAGTATTCTGCATCTAACAACATGACTCAGACTAGAAGTTAGTAACTTTAAGCACTGATACAAAGTTTTGGTTTAGCCACCCCTGACTTTCTTCCAACCATCCCGAACACCGGTTAGCATTGCGCGTCGTGGTAATCGGTGTTCAGGCATACGTAACACGTGACCCAACCATCTCAGTCGATGAAGATTCACCAGCTCATCAACTGATTTACCATCATTCCCCAATACCCTGCGTTTAACCTCACTATTACTGTGTTTTGAGTAAGTAAGGAGTAATCAATATACTGGATAGTTTTCTACAGTTTTCAATGTTTTTTCTAGTCAAATTCACTTTATCAAGTTAAAAAATAACTGATTTTCTTGAAGAAATCTCAACACCATAAAGAGATATCGTCATGTATGTTTCTGTTTGTTTTATCTTTATGATTTTTTGTTGTTGATAAAATATTAACAACCAAATAAATTTACCAGGTGTAATTAATTGTTCCGCAATAAAAAAAATACAACCCTTCAAACGAGAATACAATAAGGTGTATGCTTTATAGATGCATCATCAATGTGAATTTTTAAGAATGTGAGAAAAAATACGTAAAAACCGAAAAACCAGGTAATAACATTCACTTCAAATAAACAAAATAACGATGAGAAGAAAAAGGATTTATTTATCGATTGATACCGTTAATGATGATGATGATGATGATGACAATGACAAGACTAATGATAATAACAGAAGAAATAGCAACTACCCAAGTTCATTATGCTTTATGGATGAAATTATAAAGGAATTAAACATGTTAAAACAGGCAAAACCAATTTGTCATAATATATATATATATATATAAAGTAAACAAGCGTAATGATACTAATAAATTTATCATGTTTTAGTCCGAACACAGTACATATATATGTAGCAGGTTTGGCCAATATACTTAACGTTGTTTAACATTTTATTGGGTTTATTAAGTTGTTTACAAGTGAAAAGATGAGTAGATAAATAGGTAGGTGGATAGATTAAAGACAAGATAGTAAATAAATAAATAAATAAATAAACAGATAAATAAATAACTGAATATACATATACTAACCATTTATACCTATTTGGTAAAGAGAGACCATTCATTATGTATGATTTATTATTATTATCATTCTAGTCTTATCAAGCAGTAGTAACAACCATGGAGAAAATAACAACAATAAACCTGTTTTCTACGGCATATATACATATACAGATACACACATATACATACACTAGAAGATGACAACAAGAGATGTAAAATAATTAAGAAAAGAATAAACAATATTCTAATTAGAAAATAATATATTTACTGAAATTAAAACAGTAAATAGTATAGTTGCCACTGTTTTGTATAGTAGACGATTGACGGAAATACAAGTAGAAATTAGTTTGGAAGCTCTCGCAGAATGATTACTTATACTAAAAGAAATACTATGGAGTAATGCCACTGCATTAAAGATATTCAATCTGATATGAATTATATTTAGTTTTTTAAATCATTTAAATATTTATCCTTTAAGTATTATTCATATTTTGTTTAGCCATTGTATGTACAATATTGACATTAAACAAACAATTGTGAGTAGGTAAGTTTAGCCAACTCGTAAGACCGTGATCTGATAGCAATTTTTACGAAAACGAATAGTGTAGAATGTAAAATTCATAGTTACAAATGAAAATAAACAAGATATTTATTAACTTCATGTTTAAAGTTTGGAATTAAATACCATCGATTCTAAAACAGAATAAATCCGGGTATTCAATTTTCGCAAGGATGCGAACGCATATTGTTAATGAGTAATACTAAGCATTAGATACATTTCAAGTTATGACTCAAAATGCTAAAATTCTTGCGATTCATCATCCTACCACGTGTTCAAGCACTCGACCTCATATCATACGATTTATTATGTATAAAGACTATTGATACTGTCAGGTTTAGCAGTTTTAATCTGTAATATCAGTTATCAAAATTTGTCTGTTGTTTCAGTCATTAAACCACCCCATTATTGGGACTCTACACTGGATTTCGTAGACTAGTTTCTTAAAATCTAAGTACAATAGAATGCAACCCGTAATAATAAGATTGCAACAGGTAAATAAA